TAGAAATCAACCTCCCCCATTCTTGCACTAAAACTGACCCATATGGCGTTGAAACTCGACTATTCACAGCCTAGGAAGTTGCAAGTAGCTACTCGCAAATGCGCCTAAAAAATACGTCTATGCGAGTACAAACTTGTAAGTATCCGCATTTAGCTTGTAAATTTCAGAAACTACTCGTATTTTGCGAGTGAAAATTGAAGCCCTATACGCAGCTGAAACGTGCCTTGCACGAGTCAGACTAGACGAGATACCGTGCACGATCCATAGGCTTTGAATGATTTACGATGTACTGGGAAAGTCATAATAAAGAAATAGTAACATTGTAAATATGTTATTGGCAGTTGTTTTGTTCTAGTCAAAATACGGGCATGCATTTTTTTTTAAATGAATGCCGGTTTTACACTGTCGGCAGCTTTTTGATTGTCAATTAAATAATTGTCATTGGCTAACGTGACGGCATTTTTCAGTGTCAATTTAGTCGTGTTGGAAACATCAATAATCAAAGTCACACTGTCGCATTTTCGACTCGAACAAGACATGGCGAATAAGCAAATTACTAATTTTATTCGGCCGGTTGAGCATAAAAAAAATCCCAACAACAAACTCCAGGACATCAGATCCTACATCCTCGCATTCAGCCACAAAACGGAAGATGTGGGTGATCTATTACATATCAGTCTGGAAGGCCCTAGCATGGCCGAATTTGATCCTTCAAGTTCTGTTCACAGATGGATGCATGAATCAGTGCGGGCAAGACTATCAAATGTGAAACTGGAGTGGCCTGATAACATCGTACATGCAGTGTTCGACCAGGATACAAATCAAGACTTTTTGTAACAGAACAGTTTCTCTCAATAAAGTATGTCATTATTGTAGTTGTATTCGCAAAGATTAGCATAACACATTTTATTTGTTCTACGCATAAAACAATTTTGCTTCTAAAATTTTAGGTTTAGGAGCATTTTGCTCCTTACAAAAAAGTTAACTTCCTAGGCTGAATTCAGCACAAAATTCTAAGAGCATTGTAAAGTATATAGTGGCCCTCCTTGAATAAAGAATAGCACAATATAAGTAAAAAATAAAAAAAATTTTTTTTTTTTTGGATGACAAATGATGCACCATGTATGCTATCTAATGTTTTTGTAATCACTGATTTTTACTCTAAAAATTCGACCAGTTTAAAATTTCAAAGTAGTTGAATATAATGCTAAAAACCATTTTTCAAAACTAATTAGTTAAAGATGTAGTAATTTTAGAGTTGGATATTGTATTTGATCCATTAGAAGTTCAATTCCAAAGTGTATATAAACCAAAAGTTGTGTGTATTATATGTACATTGAAATATAACTACCGTACTTCCCCCGAGCATAAGCCCCTCCCAAGGATAAGCCCACCCCTCTGTTTTTTAGACATTTAACAAGTTGAGGGCATCTCCGAGTATAGGCCCATGGTGTTTTTACCAGGCATCGACAACATGTATTAAAATATGCATGTAAAAAGTGTATTTCATTGCATAATAACAGTGAGTGGTACGGTAGTTTGGTTCCTGCTTTTACGAGAAAACTTGCATTAATTTCAGGCCGGCGAACGTACGGAGCATGGTTCACACATTGTCTGTTCTGTTATTTACTCAGGGTGAACCCCAATGTTGCAATACTGAAGTAATCCATAGTTCTTTTGAGTAGTAGTTTTAGAAACACCAAAAGTGTGATTGTTAAGTCGTGAAACCTGGTCATTGAACAGGTTTTACTTTTCCAAATAATCGTGTCCATTGAGATATTTGTGAATGGGATGTGATCGAGCAAACTATTCTTCAACATGACTGGCGATCCTGAAAAGTTTAAATACTTCCTCCACCCTCAGTTTACCTTTCGAAAAATTGCGAATCAACAGCTTTAGGGAAAAAATCACTGTTTTTTGTCGAAATCAGATCGCATTTTAACATCGCGGTAATTCATTTCTGCATTGCGTTGAAAAAATTACTTCGTCAATAATCGGAAAACTTCGTCTGTACGACACATCATTTTGATTGGTTAACGAAAAAGACGCGACCTGTTAGGTCAAGTCAGGATGCAAAACACTTTGTATCGAAAACATTTCACAACAAAGATAAAGATCTTGCCTTCGACTGTTTTCCCACAGACCTTACCCATTTTTGAACCGTAAATTCAGACGGTATGTAAATCGTATTGTAATAAAATGTGTATATTTTTATGAACATGTTTCTTCATTGTAAAAAGTGTTGTGGAAATCAAAAAGACGTAATATTTCTCCGAGACCGGCGCTGTGAACGAAAAATGAAATTTGGAAAATTTTTCGTGGTTGGGAAGATGGTTACAATTTTAAACCCCCCAAAAAATTATCTTTTCTGAGGTGATCCTCGAGTATAAGCCCACCCCCTAATTTCCCAATTTTACATGTTCAGGCTCCTGGGCTAATACTAGGAGAAGTACGGTAAGTTTGAACATGCATGTAGACTCATTTAAAACATAGATTTACATACAGTCGTCCATTTTAAATTTATTGGTGACAAAAATGCATGAATGTTTGTGCAATAAGATCTCTCGTGTACAAGTTTGAAGTTGAATGGTTTAGGCATAAAAAAAGTGACTGCCAGTTGGCCATTTTGAACATAATCCAAACAATAAAATGAAGTGCATCATGGTCCCATTACGTTTAATTAACAGATACACTATGCACCAGGTTTGAAGATAATATGTTTGATTCAAGAATAGCAAATATATGTGTTTTGGTACATTTCTGGTCAGATCGTGAATATGTCCTATATGATGTAAGTATGAGAGAAGTATAAACTTGATTCTTAAACTGCATTCTTTAAAATAAAATGACCACCAGAGGGAGTGGGAGGGGATTTGAATGAGTGTATGCAAAAAACGTTCTGAATTGTTTTTTAATGTTTGCTTCATTAATTTGTTTCCTATCAAAACTTTCGTTTAGGGGCTGGGAAAAGAGGGAGTAGAATGTTAAACGAAGAACTGACATTTGCATCTTTTAATAATCCACTGCCCTAAATACAAGGTAAATGTAATTGTCAACTCACTGTGCAGTTATTTTTCTTATAACCAGAAACACATCCCAATATTCCAGTCACTATTACCTGCAAACAAATGAATATAATATTCAAAACCATTCTCATATTGGCATTTTCTGTGAAATCATAATTATAGTTAAAATTCTGCAATTAAACATTAGCCTGAGAACATTAGGAATATGAAGCAGATGGTAATGCCAAATAAAAATAGTGTTCAAAAATACTGACCGACTGTTATTCAATTTCTCCAAGTTCACAATCCAGATTTATATCGACAGTGATTTTATTATGTACATGTACATTGATATTACCATAGCTAGAATTACCACTCTTATCATCCAGGCACTTTTACTGGTTAAAACAATGGCCAAAAACTCAAACAAGAAAAATTCACTGTTAAATACTTATCGTTCTGCCACCATTTTAATTTGAAAAAAATATGCTAATCATGAGATCTGGACCTCAAAAATGCAGAGGTCAAATGAATCACGTACTATAGATGTAAGTACAGTGTGCAACAACAAAGATAGCATATGGTCATTCACATGGATTACAGCGTAAATTATGAAAACAAATATGTGTTTTGCTTAGCAAATGCATAGTTTTTGTCTCATGCACACAATAGCAATAACGTTTCCCAAACCGCAAAATACCTTTTTTAGCGCTGTGGCCACACACCGTGTGGATATTCAGCAAGTTATATAAAGACAAAGAAAAATATATGAACCATCAAAGTGTAAATAACCAAAAATCAGTTTGGGACAGCTATTGCTTCTTGAATAAATTACACATGAAAAGAGTTGTAAATAACCAAACTGAGGTCAGAAAATATAATTTTACAATATTGTCAACTTACAAATATTCCTGTCCAAATACCAGTACTAACATATGAAACAGGATGGCAATCAACACTTAGAGTCACAATACAGAATATAATAGCCAATGAGCCCAATACAATTTGTGAGATGCCAAAACTGGTGATTGTTTTATTGGCAAAACCTTTCCTTATTCCAAACTGCTGGGCAGTTGACATGGGTTGTTGTATCATTGGTACTGGTTGCACCATTGGTACAGGTTGCTGTGTCATCGATGCAGACTGCATATTTCCTCTTTACAATCTAAAACATAAAGAAAGGAAAAAAAACAGTTTAATCGTATGATCTTTCTTTGATTTGGATCAAATTGACATAATTTCCAATTAACTAAATATCCTAATCAATATTGGTGGAAAAGGTTGGCTGGGGTTCAAAAAGTTAATATTGCTTTCATTAAAGGGCGGCTCCACAATCCAAGGGATTGCACCAGTGCATCATGGGAAAATGTAATTTGCATAGTCCGCCCAGTTGTTTACTCGGTACATAGCTGTTATCATTTCAATCAAAGGTGTTAATTCCGTAAGCTAAAATCATGCATTACGCATTATCCCATTTGAAAGGACTTAATTATTGAATCGTGTTCAATGCTCACAGGGCCCGCAATATTTTGAAAGCAGTTTTCATGGACCTTCCTGTTTAGCTCCGTGCTTGCATGACACAGCACATCGTCATAAATATATAATTGTGGTTTAATTGAATGACCTACACTATGTAAAGTATTGCACAGTACATCATTTGCCATAATGTGTCTTGTCAGCAAGAAACGTAAATCAAAGAAAGCTTAGAAAGAACTCCCGTGTGCTGAGAGTATTGGAGACACATTAAAAATTAATTCAAAATTACTTGAACTTGAGATGTTGATGGAAACGCAGAAAATTAATTATGCAAATAAGGTAACGAACAGATTTAAGTGTAAAACTAATAAGGTCTGCACAATGTACCAAGTTTCATTGAAATGTGATTAGAACCAAAAAAATATTAATTATTATGCTAATTAGAGAATTAATATGAACAGATTTTAACCCAAAATTAATCAGGCTGTCTATTGTCCTAGACCATTTATGTACCAAGTTTTATTCAAATGTGATGATCAATACTTGAGATATACAGTGTTAATTAGGTGATTAAGAAGCATAAATATTTACCAAAAACTAATATGGTGTATAGTCCTAGGTTCATTGAAATGTGACAGGTACTCTTGAAAAGTTTCGTTGAAATCCAATGAGTGGTTTTTGGACAGCAGTGCAACAGCAATAGAACAGCAAAAAACTAACTAATTATGCAAATTAGGTAATTAATAGGCACAATTATTTATGCCAAAATTAATCAGGTCTCTGCATAGTCCTAGAACATCTATGTCGCAAGTCTCATTGAAATGTGATGATTAGTACTTGAGATATCAGGTGAAAATGAACTAATTATGCTAATAAGGTGATTAATATGCACAAATATTTACCCAAAACTAATTAGGTCTCTGCACAGTCCTCAAGTAACTATGTACCAAGTTTCATTGAAACGTGATCATTATTACTCAAAATATCAAAACCTGAAAATTAATTAATTATGCAAATTAGGTAATTAATATGTACTGATATTACCCTAAAAACTATCAGGTCTGTGCAGTGTCATATGAAATCTATGTACCAAGTTTTATTGAAATGTTATGATTAGTACTTGAGATATCAGTGGAAAAGCCGAAAATTTATTAATTATTATGTAAATTAGGTAATTAATAATATTAACAGATTTTTACCCAAAACTAATCAAATCTGCGCATTAGTTCAGAGCATCCATGTGCCAAGTTTCATTGAAATCCAATGAGTGGTTCTTCAAAAATCAGTGGAACAGTCATAGAACAGCTTAAAATCAGTTAATTATCATGCAAATTAGGTAATTAATATTCATAGATTTTTACCCAAAACTAATCAAACCTGCATATTGGTTCAGAACATCCATGTGCCAAGTTTCATCAAAATCAGAGAATAGTCTGCGCATGTCTGGCTGAGAAGCGGACGTGTCTGATGGCAGCTCCGTAAATATTACAAAACTTCGGTAGTGTAGAGAAGAAGATTGATTTAAATCATAACTAAAGCAGTGCGAAATACTATTATATTCAATACGGTGAACCAATAAATGGGAAAGAAGAGCGGTCGGCAAAATAGGACACCAGTGTCTACAAGCAGTGAGTGTAGTCCAAACGAGAAACGCGGCAAGATGGCGGATACCAGTGTGGACAAAGACAATACAAAGGCAAGTTCGATGACACTAGAGTCGCTTTTCACAAAGCTTTCGGAAAAAATCGATGTGGTCTCATCTGAATTAAAGCAAGAAATAAATGATATATCTAAAAGTATTACAAGCATAATTTGATGAAATAGTCACGGGTCAAGGCGACAGAATAGAAAGATTAGAGACCGAGGCAGTTAATTTTAGAGAAGAGAATGATACGTTGAAAATGGAAATAAATTACTTGGAA